GATGAATTTTCTCGGTGAATGGAACCACTAGTTTATGGCAAACTTCCATGCAAATTCCTCTGTGAAAGCAGAGCGTACGAGCGAAGGCTTCGTGACGGGGGATCATCCGCGAGCAGTGTTCGACGCTAATAGTCAGTTCGACGCGGCTATCTGACCTAAAAATTAGCGTAAATTTTCGCGAAAGCTGCTAGTCGCACGTTCAGCCAGACAGGCGTGCTCGCTCGCTCGCTCGCTCGCTCGTCCTTCTTGAGTAGCTCGCTCAGCGTTTTCGCGACTTGAGTGGGCCACACTCAGCCTTTCAGACGCGGACTTTCAGAGTGGAGACAAGCGGTGGGGTTGAGTTAAAAAAAAAAAAAAAAAAAGAAAAAAAGGAGGAGAGAAAAAAGAAATTTCATGCGAGGAGAGAGAGTCGGTGAGGGAGGGGAAAAGTCGCTCATAAGAGGGATTCCTTAACTACCCTTGATTTCCATCCACTTCTGGCTAATTGACGCGACTCCAGACCGCTTTCAGCCTCGAATCACTTCGAGCATAGAGGAAACGGAGGAGCTTTCCAAATTTCTCAGACCACTTTTCCTTTCTCGTTTTTTTTTTTTTTTTTTTTTTTTTTGTCTCGCCGCACTGACAGATCGCACTCGACAAAGTTAAAAAAAAAAAGAAAACATTAAATTGTTCTCTCTCTCTCTTACTCTTTCTCGTTTGATCTGTGCGGGAAAAAAGAGAGAACGAGGGAGAGAAAGGGAAAATAAATAATACGAACAAGAATGGGCAAACGATCCAGACCGAAAGTGGAAAGAAATTTTCCAATGGTAGAAATCAAGTATTTACACGATGGTTTTATCGAGACCAAGAAGCAGAAAGCTTCGACTATAGCCGGAGCGTTGTGCATGAACGCTTCAGCAACGAAGAATTCGCGAATCTGGGACAGTTTGATCGATAATGGCGTAAACCTGGCCGCGGCAATTCCAGGAATGGCAGCCTAATTGGATCCTCCTTAAATAAGTATTTCAATTTACCCGCAGATCGCCGCGCTCTCCCGAGTGCATGGTCGCTCTTTTCGAGACAACACATTTGCAACTGTGCGGACAGATTTCTCCAAATCCTTTCGAAATGCGTGTGGAAAAACACGCTGATTAATTAACAGCGGCTGATTGAAAAACATCGTCAAAAATTAATGTATAATGTAACAATGTTTATTTGAAAAGTTAAAAAAAAATCATTTTAAATCGCGGGTCGACCAGCCGCGTAAAAAGGAACGAGGAAAATCAGAAAGTGGGAACAGGAATTCGAGGATTTTCACGAGACAAAGAACGAGTTTACGCAAAAAGGTAAAAAAAACGACGACGTAAAGATGCAAGTTGGAGGATGTTGAAACAGAACGGAAGAATGGCTAGAAAGAGCCTCGCTTTGAAAAGTATCGTAGAGTTTATTTGCCCGGGCTTCTATTTGAATTTCGCGAGCCACTCGTTCAAGGTCACACGTCGGTCCGCAGCATTCATAGTGATGCACCGGCGTGCACTCTGCAACGACGAGAATCGATAAACCACGGCAAAAGGGATTAAAACCTTTGCTACGTGTCTCGGAACTTTCTCCGAATTATTTTCAACCGCTTCCGCTTCCGCTTTCTCGACGTTTCTAAATCCCATTTTCCAGCATGAAAACGTATTCGTATCGTTTAATTCCTCCGTTGGAAAAATTTCGTCGGACTCGGTTTTTTCGTAAATGTAAGTAAATGTGATTTTATACACGGAAACTTCGTGTCCCGTTTCTAACTGTAAAAAGAATTACCAGCTTTCTCTCCCTTTTTTCCTCCCCCTTCCAGTGATGCGCGACCATGAGCATGTAGTATGATCAAGCGTGTAATTTAGGGAAATAATCACCGGGTAAAGAAATAACTCGAGCTACCAGGCATGATTAACTTCAATCTAATTTGCAGGGTAAAGTGTTTTCGCGCTTCGTATCCGCACTGTTAAAGTTGCCAAACTCGTTAATCCTTTGTTAACCTCTTGGCACTGGAATAACGTGCCACGCACGTCGAGAATTTTTTTTGCCCCAAAATTACAATATTTCCTCAGTTTTAAATATATTTAAATACAACCCAGACAAAAAACAGGTAAGAAATTTATTACTTTGTAATAATAATTTCTATCCAGTGAATATTATACCGATGAATTCAAAGAGAAAGCAGCGAATTATTCTA